GGGGAAAGGGGCGAGGGCACCGGTGGCGGCGGCGGCGGACGTCCTGCTTCACCTTCAGCGAACGCTGTTCATTTCAGGTTTTTCTTGGTACGTACTACATGGCCAGCGGATGAACTGTCAAGCCACCCAACTCATCCCACGTTAGGGCTATACGCGAATGAACTGATCTCGTGCCAAGAAACCACATAACCTTTCCAGAGGTGATGAAGGGTGGAATTATTCAAACTCAGCTGATTTATTACAAATGCGATAGATAAAATAGAAAAATAATATAACTCAAAACTATTGATCACATTCTTATTCGATTTGCTTTGGATTGAAAATTCTTTAGAACAGGGAAGGAATTTTCTAGGCTATCTTATTACAGAATCTAGCTGTGTCAATAGGTTATAAATGATTTGATTGATAGTTGAAAATTTGTTACTAATAATGAAAAATAAATTATATTAACTTCATAGAACAAAGTATCAATTCTTTTTAAAAAGCGGCGAATAGGATGTAAAATAAATGGACGTGTTTTATAAAACACACTGCATTCAATAACAAACGCAAACTTTTTAAGCATTCTGACTGTAAAAACTGACAATGAAAAGAGTCATACTTTATAGCTGTGGCCATAGTTTCTTCAGAGTGGACTTTGTAAAATACATGAGCAAACATACACAGTTAGCAAAGAAAACATTGCCCATGAAAAATTCTGTCCAAGAAAAACCAGCAGTCAGGCCATTACTCAGGCGCAAGATCAATGTTTGGATGAGGAATATTTGGAGTATCAATAGAGACCAGTTATCACTACATTAGTATATGTAACGAAAGGTCGTGTACACATAAACAGTAATCAATGTTGCCCTAGGTTCGTGGAGTTGGTGAATCAGTAAACTAATAATGTTGTGAACGAAAAAAAATATGTCCTTGTTTTACAAATAGGCAAGTTGACTTTCTCGAAAGATTTGCAAATTATAGGGCAAATATTCTCACCACGTAGTACAATTAGAATATATTAATAAAATGTTGACTATCCTTAATCAGGGGATATTGGAAACACTGTAAATGCTTGTTATTCCATACTCTAAAAGTTCCCAGAACGGTGAGGAGTTCAGTTATATTTACGGAAGTTCAAATTAATTTTCATTTATCTCGTTAAAGAGAAATTTTGTTCTGTATTGTGCTATGATAATGTCGGTAATTCTATTTTCCCGTCATACGTATTAAGAAGAGAAGGTATTCTACGCGAGAAATTGGCGACTGTTCCATAGAAACTTTTATTGCCAAGCCCTAATAATGAAAAAATGGATAAATCTTCTTCCTATATGTCGTAAATTACATCCTCGAAGGTGTTGTATAACCAGAATGTATGTTTTGGTAGTCCTTGATACCGAAAAATTGATTAACAGCAAACGTCTGTGCGTCATGTGGTTACCGTTAGTGCCGAAAATCGTCAGACAGTTTCCCCTCAAACAGATTTCTCCGATCGAGATGAACGAATTCAAGGCCCTGCGGAATTGAAACGGACTGTGATTTTTGGGGTACCTTACATGATGCCTCAAAGTTTTCGAAATTTTTCACAAAAAGTATCAATTTGTTTAATTAAACTTTGTCCTTGGATAGCGTAAGGAACTCTTAAAAACTGGCACAGGTTTAATTTTTGCTAAAGTATCTGATTTTTCAAAAATTGCAAAATGTCAGACATTTCGGCGTCTTCCTACAGCTACAATACTGATTTTTTCTGAATAAAATATTTTTGTTTAAAGACATCCTAAAATAGATTCATATACTATTTTTCAAAATATATGAGTAATTCGCGAAATTTCGGGTGAAACATATGTATTTTTAAATAATTATTTTCTCAAATACTTTCCCATGCCGGTCTCTTTTGAGCAGAACTATGGATTATTAAAGATTTCAAACAATTAACATTGCAATAGTACAAAACTAGAAATAGAGGATTTTGTGTTAAATGAAAGATGTTCTAAAAAATTAAATCTTGAAACAATCATATTCTTCTTCTTTTCAACGAGTAGTTTTCACATATTTTCTACTTGAATTTAATGCAATTTATCAGGAAAACATTTTCTCAAAAACTGTTCCATTTCTTTCAAAGATACAGCGTACTCTTAAAAAATGACGCAGGTCTCACTTAAGTTGAACTATCTGAATTTTCGACGTATGCAAACGTTAGAAATAATGTAATAAATATGTTGTTGCATTATTTCTTGTTGTAGCACCACTAGTTAAGCTTCAGATACAATGCTAAATCACTCTACATGAAATTATATTTATAAAACAACAGGTAATATTTGTCACGAATAAGCAATACTATTTTTAACAAATTAATGTAAAACCAAGTGCTACAGTACTCTAGTAGCGTTGAAAGAAATAACTGATATTCAGATGCAGCGAAATTTCAATCAATACACCAAGCATAACGTTCAGTTTGTGATAAAATAATTTGCGAACAATGACTTCTTGCTTAGGGAAAGTCTTCGTTACTTTAGGGAAATTACATCGTTACTTTAACCAGCGGAAAAACGGGGCAGCTCTCCCAAGTTCCCGGCAGCAGACACTGGAAAAGCGGGACACATCGCTTAAGTCAGAGTATTGTTATATTTTTCTCCAAAAGTTCGAGAAATGTAAATAGATATCAAGAAAAACATTTACTTTATGGTCTATGAATACATTAAATATAAATACGAATTGTGTCTACAAATCAGAAGATGAAATGTCCAATAACTTAATGCCCCTTCTTCATAATTGTCTTTATTGAAATGGTTACATTTATTAAACTAGTATGTCTGTTCACAACTGTAAATATTAGTTTTATATTTTTCTTTTATCTGCAAATGGTACCCTAACATACTATTTAAACAAGAATAACACCATGTTAAAAATGCTATTTCAGGTGAGGAGCAAGGATTACAATGTATTGCTTACCAGTAATGCGTTTCTTTCTTTTTTTTCCCTCCAAGAAAGACGACATATTTGCACCAATCAAGATTTTTGTGACGCACACAAGTTTATCATTAAAAGATTACATTAAAAATGTACAAATGGCAAATGCTGCCTTTGTCGAAAATAATTTCTATTACGTACATTATCGTGAATTGTTAGCAAATATAAATAAAAATATTATTATCAGTTTCTGAAAACTCTGGAGAATGAATTTGAAAATTTCGTTTATTCTACGATCTGTAATTACAAAATCTGTTAGGATACTAGGATCAAACGTTCATTTAAGATTGTATGTGAAATCTAGATCAGATGTGATTTGATATTTATCAAGCTCTCAGCACACTGTCCGATGATGTGAACGATAGGCATTTGAGAACAGGCATATGTGACGTCATGGATACTCACAGCGACCACACACAGAGCTTTCGTATAACAAATATATTTATTATCAAGAAAACAAAACAAATATATACACTTAACAATCTACTTACACCCTAGCTCTGATAGACCACTATCCCCTGATCGCGGGAGCGATCCAAACCCGATTGAAGATGTTTTGATTTGGCATTCGCCACTTCTAACTTTTGAGCGCGCACAAAGCTAGCTTCCGTGACTGATGTCACGCATGGGACACAAAGTCGTTCTGGCGCACCAAACGGCTGGTTTGCCTCGATCTGCAGGAGCGATCTTATCGATTGAGATCGGCGTGGAATCGTGCAACTCACCACTCTTTCACCTCGAGCCACGCACAACAGCAATCGCTCCGCGTGACCGCAGTCCCCAAGGCACAAACTCCCGCAGGCTTCGTTACTAATGGACTCCAGCCTCGCGAGCACTGGCTCGCTACATGCACCGTCCTGGCGCCCAAAGTTTTGTGCCTACGCACGAGGTTCTCTACCGTCTCCAGAACCTCCTACTGCTCTGTAACACTCCTGTTGTATAGGCGAGGCCCACGTGACCTATTACGTCACGCCACCCTCGAGCTTGTATCAAAGTGAAAAGCTTCTATAGAGTTCGGCAACTCCCAAAGCCTTTGTGTCTCCCGTTTCCACGTTCTTCCCTTTACGGAAAAACCCTTCTTCCTGTGGCAAGGCTGATCCTGCCAAGCGTCCCCAAATAGAAGCCGCGAGGCACGCTGGCTAATACGTTACACATTCATCTGGCGCCCAACAGAAGGCATATTCCATTCGAAATTGCGTGTCCTTTAAACATTCGTCGATGTAAGGTGTCAATTTCGAAACAGGAATATATAACGGAGAACGTTAACATGGGCGGTGCGCCAAGCGTCCTGGCGCTCATAATTAACGTGCGTCCGTAGGTACATAATTAACGCGACTACTGGCATTTGGTTAGAATTGCCGGGGTAACAGACAAGTTACACCGGCGCAAATCATAGTTACACACCATGCAAAAGGTATCAGACAATTAGCTCTCCGACGTGCGTGACAAGGGCTATCCCAGCGCTGCGGACAGCGTTGCAGCTTTCTACCTCTAGGTGGAGAGATTCAAATCTCAGTCACTATAAGAATAATTTGTAGGAGACGAAGTGGAATCTCCGCTGGTTTTCCCGTGGCACTCGTTTGGTTCTTTCCATTCTTGAAATAGAAATACTTTCCATTTTTTCGTCATTCACCATTCTTGCTGTGAGCAGATGTTTGTATCGATTATCTATTAATAAATTGTGTCGTATTTTCAGTTGCACAGTGTATCGGAACACATAGTTTTCTACAACATTCCTCTGAACACTTTGACATTAAATACACGGTTCCACAATTAAGATTGAATTTTTACCTTTTCAACTTCAAATTGAATTACTAAATTTCAAATGACAATAATCACAATTAAATTGGGGCTAAATACATTCAAATTGAACCTTATCACTTACATAGAGACTTCGAAATTTGAAACTGAAGTCAATCAAGAAAAATTTCAAATATGAAAATCAATACATTCAAATTAACAACGCCAAAACACTTTACTCAAAAGCAATTTCATGAAGATTCAATCATAATTTACATTAATGTATCAGCTACATTGAAAGCATGAACACATTACATAAAATCAAACGCGCAAAGAAATCGGGCTCGTGTAACAGGTTGGTTATATGACGAGCAACATGGTTTTGAAAAGAAGCGTCCTTGCGAGAGCCAAATAGTGGCATAACACTTGAAATTTCTGATTGAATAAGAGGCAGAATGAATGCCATTGTTATAGACTTCGCCAAGGCCTTCTATCTTGTTCTTCATGATATTCTCATGCACAATATCATCAGGTATACTCGTAAATAACCGAGTAGTAAATTGGATTAATTGATTAAAAAGGCCGTACACAATCTGTCAGGGTAGGACACTCACACTCAGGTGTTACAAGTAAAACATGTGGTGTGGTATAGGGCAGTGGGATAGGGCCATTTGCGTTTATAGCCTCCACAAACAACATTGCAGTAACTATTAAATCTCGTATAAAACTGTTTGCAGATGATTACATTCTCTTAAAGGAAAAACGAGGAAGAAATACCAACAGATCCCATACAATGACATCGATACACTTTTAAAACGAGCACGTGATAACCGTATTAAAATTAATGCTTATGAAAGTAAATATATAACATTTATTAGAGAATATTTTCACAAAATGCACTTTCTCAGATCAAGTTTTTCCATTCACATTCCATTCACAATTGCAGAGAAACAGAAATAAATACCAACCTTGGTCGTGCCTCAGTCTTCTTTCATAAAATGATGGTAACATTATCGATTTAGTTATATCCCCAACTCTTCAGACGAACCATATTTGTATTGAGCATTGTATTATTGCCTGAAAGTGAAAGTGATATTCTACTATTCATTAACTCCTTCCTTGACACTGGCCGGACACATATATCTGACTAAATCAAGCCTTAAGTACTCACTAAACCAAGAAACCTCTGACGGTGCAGGGAATGCTGCAAAGTCCATACAGTCCATCACAATGGAATATCAGTATAGACAGGCGGGCACAGTGATGCTATTATGCGTCATACGCATGTGCGCGAATTCGTGCGAATAGACGCCCATATGTACGAGTAAGCTCTATGGAAACTACAGCGAGCATGTACGTGAATACGTGGTTGATTGTATTCCAGGATATCCAATAGTTATAGTGCAGATGAACAATATACGACGTGAATACTGTTATCTAATGTAATTAATAAATATGGAATATTATATCGACCTTAGTTCAATAAATATATAACTATGTGATAAGAATTCACTGAATACGTCGAGTATATCTTTCATCATTAACAACAGGCGATATGATACTATTTGACGGAATGGCTGGCACAAATTCTTCATCAAAGCGCATAGTAATATCTTACTTGGCTCTGGTCTTAAAATATGACTAATTGATCACACTTCCCGAATCCTTATCCCTAAATATTCTGGCATTTGAATAATTCTGGTGACCGATTCCATTGCATTTATAGTAAGAGTTTTATTATTCTGTCACATTAATAATCAGGTTCCATTGCACAAATGCCATACTTTTCAAACAAGAAAACTTAAGGAGTTTTGTTTGGTGGCAAACCTTGTTCACCGTTGCAGCCGCCGAGAAATCGCTGGGAAAAGCTGTGACGAAACCAGAAGCCTCTCCAGCGCCCGGCGCGGTCCTGAGCGGGTGGGACAGCTGTGGAAAATTTCCTCTCCACGCTCACTACTCTTTCGTTTCCACGCCCGTCCCCCCGCTGTCCCCCGCCAGCCCCCGGCGGGGCTCCGAGCGAGTGCGACAAGCCAGGACCTTCTAAACCGCCGGGGCATTCGACCGCTCCTGTCGGGCCCCTCTGTCTCTGTCAAGACCGCCCCTAGAACAGGGGGAGAAGCGGTGACGGCGTCGGCGGCGGCACTTGGTCTGGACTCCCGGCTGAAACACGTCCTCGGCGAACTACGCCGCTGCTAGCAGCCTCAGTGGGAGCGATATTGCTATAGAGTTCGCGCAGAATGCATGCATTCAAGTAACGTTCAATTTAAGGTTATACATATTTTTATGTAACGAGAAAACAAAGCTATAAAATTATTTTAATTCATTCTACCCCTTGCAAACAGAGTGTACAGAATATTACAGATATTTAAGTGAATTCATTGATGTGATTTGTGTTCGTTTATTCTTCTGTTATTTAGTAAGTAAAAAAAATAATATATCGGTATAATAAATTTAGCTGCGCAAATTGGATCTCTGTCAACTTGCGTGATGGATATGCACAACATGATCCGTGTTGCAGCGATACCTGCAATTGTGATGCCGTTATTATTAGCCGGGACACAGGGGAGAAAAGAACAGAGATGAGGAGGATAAAATAAGAGAGAAGAAGAGGAGGCAAAGAAAAGAGGATAATAGAACTGTCGACGTAGGACTGAGCAATATGTATTTACATTCCAAATCATGAATTTTAAGCATTATAATTTTCATTTAAGAACCAAAGAAAAAATAAGTACTGAACTTTACATTTCGTTTACGTTGGAAATTATATCATGGATTTTTTTGTAGTAAACACTTGATAAGGCTCGTCTCTTTAAACTTATTTTTGCTTAGAACTTCTCATAAAAAATCACATTCTTGTATACTATTGCGTAAGTT